GCATGCTAGACTGCAATGCAGCTGCTTCTCGGTGACTTAGCATGTAATGCTAACCCAGTATTGTGGTTTCTAAAACATTGGGCAGGCTATGATGCATGATAGGTTAGAGTTTCAATAGAAGAGAATCTCTGTAGCTCAGGGTTGAACTGTGGAGCCCTTGGTGTTCTCTGAGCTTTGTGGTTTTCTTGCACAGATTAGTGCAAGAAAACAACCAAGACTATCCACAGGCTAGAGTTTATTCAGCAAACTGTAGGTTACACCAGCTATAGGTTAGCACAATGTTTCTCAACCTTGGCAACTTTTAGGCATGTGGACTTCAACTCCCAGAATTCCCCATCCAGCATGTTGGCTGGGGAATTCTGGGAGTTGAAGTCCACGCATCTAAAAGTTGTCAAGGTTGGGAAACACTGGGTTAGTATGTCCTGTGACCCAGCTGGTATTGTCTTCATCACTGCAAACACTTTGTTTCTGTAAAGATAACCTTCCCATCCATTTTTTCCCATTAATTATATTGTTATAAGTCTTGATACATTGTCTTGTTTCAATGCAATGATATTATATAAAATGATTACAGACAATTAACATTCCATTGTTTAAAAAGCTTAAGGTATTGAAAATAGAGAAAGGAAGGTAAACATTCTGTCAATATTACTTATTATTTAGGATGTCAGTATTTCAAGCATAACATTATTTAGCTTTCCATCCAAAGTTAAGTATTCCACAAAGGGAAAACCACTGCAACTGCAAAAGGATTAATTATATGATAATAGTTTCAATCTTAAGTTAATTACTTAAAATTAAAATATCCATTGTATTGTTACTTTATAGACAGATAAAAAGGAAAGAGAAGAGGATAGACAAAGCAAGTTTAACAAAAGTTAAAATACCTGAAAAGTCAAAAAGCAAAAAGGAAGTAGTAGTATTAAACAAGAAAATGAAAAAAAAAACTTGGTTTCTGCCAACCTTCCCATCAATTTTTCAGTCTAATTCCTTCCAACCATTAGATGATATTACATAATTTGGCTTAACTGAGTTTTGTGCTTTCAAGTCTGCATTTCTGGAAGTGGTTGGCCCTTGCCTTCTTCTTCCTAGGGCTGAGAGAATGACTGGCCCAAGGTCACCCAGCTGGCTTCGTGCCTATGGCAGGACTAGAACTCAGGGTCTCCTGTTTCTAGCCTGGGGCCTTCACCACCACACGAAACTGGCTCTCTTTCATCTAGTACATTACCCCAAATTACTCTCTTGGCATAGACTATAATGTTTGATGGCTGGTGTGGGTCTTCCGGGCTGTGTGGCCGTGTTCTGGAAGTTCTCCTGGGCACAGAGAGAACTGCTCCTGTCTGTGCTCCTGCGCTCTGAAGATGCCGGTCACA